CCTACCCCCCGCAGCACGGGGACGACACGGCTGACCCGCGCGAACCTCTCCGTGGAGCTTAAACTGCAGCCCGCTCCCCCCCCCCCTTTTTTTTTTTTAAATAGGTAGGAGATTCCCTTCCTTAGGTTTTGGGACGCCCAAATCATCCAAGGGTTTCCTGGGGAAAAGCAGCCCTCTCTGGCAGTACATCCTGGATCACTCCTTGCGGGAGCACCCCATGCTGAAGAAGCTGCGACTGGTCAGTACTCCCCCCTTTCCCAGCCCCAGTTTCACTTCTGTGTCTCCATCCATCCCGTGTCCCGGCTGGCCCTTTCAGCCRTGCCCAGGGCTGGTACCAAACGCTTACCCTTCCCAGGACGTCCCTTCTGTGTGATCCGCGTTCGCCCACGGGAGCACYGCTGTTCTCCCTCCGGGATATTAGAGGCTTTGGGTTCTGTTTGGTGTTCATCTTCATGTGTCCATTTCCCCCTTTCCAGCTCACTGCCGACCAGCCCTGGAGTAACATGATGGTGTCCTGTGACCAGGCTCAGCTTATGGCAAATTTGGTCAAACTTATCAAAGCCAAGAAAGTTATTGAAATAGGTAAAAGTATGCGACTTGGTCCTCCCTGCACTAGAATAAGGCTCCTGGCAGTGCTTCCCCAAATCCAGCCTTGCCTCCTATCAAATTTCCAAACACAACACAGCCCTGCATCCYTGTCTCAGCAAACATTTGGGCAAACAGAATTTTCAAGCCATGTCTGATTTGTCCTTATTTGCCATTTGGTTTATCTGTGCACCCGGTGACCCAGGAAGGTCTAATTTTTTCAGAGAGTATCTGCAAATACAACCAACACCACCTGGGTCTCCAACGCCAGCCAGCAGCCACAGGCCAAGGTGCCCCTTATTTTCCTGCATCACTTCCATGCAGGAAGAAAACAGTYTGCTGCACAGGCCCTACCACCAATCCACTTTCCTTGGTGCTCCTTGGACCTCCAAAAGCCAAATCCCTGCTGAGCTGCCAAGCCCGGACTCCCTCCTGTCCTGTTCATCTTCAGCCTGTTATTAAGGCTGAGGAAGCCTCGCTGTTCCACTCTTGGACAGGTCCAGGYCCTTCCCTATGGGATTCAGCCGCACATTTAAAGTTCCTTGGAAACACAGAACTAGCCTTTTCTTCTGTGTGAAGTTTTGSAAAAAGCCAACATTAAGCTTTGCAAAAAGGTTTATTAAAAAAAAACCCTTAAACCTCCCACTCACCAAATATTATTGGAAAACTTTTCAAGCTCATTAACAGCTTTCCATCTTTGAGTCTTCCGGGATTCTTATTCCTGAGGGGAGCCTTGTAGTTCACTAATTATCACATTGTCACAGTATGTAAGTATTGATGCCTCCTATGGTCTTGCCTAGGTGTTTTCACGGGATACAACACCTTGAACATGGCCCTTGTCTTGCCGGATAATGGCAGAGTTATCGCCTGTGATATAAACGAGGACTATGCCAAAATTGGAAAGCCTCTGTGGCAGGAGGTAAGTGGCACCTTCCCCATTTTATATTTGGGACAGCTGTGCATCCAGGGATTTGGGGGATCTCAGGCTTGCCCAGTCACCCCCTGGCATTCCTGTTCTTTAAGGGGGTTGAGGCATCATGTTTGGAAAGACAACTTAAGTCCCCTCTGGAACGTAGCAATAACAGAAAAGAGAGTCTGAACGGCAGTCAGTGCTGAGCACAACCCACTGTCGCATCATTTCTTGCTTTCATCAGCTCTGCTCTTTGCTCTCATAGGCAGGCGTAGACCATAAAATTGACCTACGAATTAAGCCAGCAGTTCAAACGCTTGGTAAGTATCCAAAGGCTTTTTTTTTTTTTTTTTAAACACTAAGAAACCAATATTATGTTGATTAAATCCAACACCAAATATACTAGTGGTTGAGACCCCTTTCTAACAAGGGGACAGCYTCTCTTGCATAAAATGGTTTTAAATATACATATCCATACACCCTCACCCCAAAGCTCTGYCTTTCTATACACCAGGGGAGAAGAAGGAACCTCTTATACCTGTGYCATGGGCTGCACTAGTCACTCCCCTGTTCTGTCCATCGCCTCGTTTAATCTAACAAGTACTATTGTCAGCAGCTCCTGCTTACGGGAAAGCTGCTTAAAACAGATTAATTGGACAAAGACAACTTTCTCTTATGTCCATTTTCAGGAAGCATTTGTATATTCAGACAGTTTTCTAAAACAACTGAGGTGCAGCAAAATACAGAAGCAGAGATAAAACTTCAGGGTATAAATGTTGAATTATATCCCAATAACTTGACATGTAGGACATGGCAAGATCACATAAGGGCATTAGAAAGGCAGTGACATTTTTACTTTTCTCAGTCGAGACAAGAGAAGCAATAGGGCAGAGAAGATAAAATCTGAAATTTAAAACCAAAATAGTTAAGAATGGGGGARGTAGTTGGTCATTTGCAGCAAAGGTCCTTCAGCTTGAGTATTTGGGGAAAAAAGAAAACTATTAGTTGTGAAGGTAGAAGAGGCTACCCATGAATGCTGGAGAATTGCCCTCTCAAGGTGTTAAGACTGGATTAAGCAAGTCAAGTAGCTGATGAGTTTATCTGGACTCTCCTTGGCCCTCCGTCTGTACCAAGGTACAGATGGACAAGGTGCTCAGGGCTCTCATCAGCTACATGGTGGGGAATCCAGTATAAAGAGAGCCCGCCCAGCAGGGCTGCAGCAGGAAAACCCAGAAGGTTGCAGCGGTGGCTCCTCCTTCCTAGGACAGAGGGTTCTGCAGACCAAGAAGTAAACTAAGGGGTCAAGCGTGGCTAGTGTCCAACTGCTTGWTTTGGTTTTCCCACGCCATTCAGCACTCCCAGCTGTATCCCGCATGTTTAGAACTGCTCCGTGACCTTCTTCCAAGCAGACAGAACTTGGTAGGTTCCAGGGTGTTTTCCACAGGATAAAGTTTTCCTGTAATTAGCCATGGAGGACTAGCCTGCTTGGTCAAGGTACCAAAAATCCTTAATGAAACCTTTGTCACAGAGCAATGATTTCTGCCTTTACAGTGTTAACCAGGCTGTAACAACTCACTTTGTTGCCCGTCTAGATGAGCTACTGGCCGCTGGAGAAGGAGAGACCTTTGACTTTGCTTTCATTGATGCTGATAAGGAGAGCTACAACGAGTACTATGAAAAATGCCTGCGCCTCATAAAGAAAGGGGGAATAATAGCGATTGATAATGTAAGTACTGCTCATTTACATTATCTTAAGCATTAAGCTTACTGCWGCTTTAGAAGTAGTAGTACAGTGCACACACCCTCTGCGTTTGGCCTCTGGAAAAGCAGGGGTAGCCATCCTGGGATTTTAATAACTTGATTTCTGACCTGCAATTCAATGGCAAATGCAACTTCCCCTGTTGCTCAGAGGARGTTTTTAAAATTCAACATAAATTATTAAAAAGTTAACTAATACTAACTAGTGCAACATCAAGAAAGAAAACCAAATATAAGCAATAAATTGCTAAATTTATATTTAAAAARACACGCTTTAATTATGAAGCTTATCACAGCTCATTACGAAGGATGCTCCACAGTATCCCATTTTTCCTTATAGTGCTTATTCTATTGCATACAGTATATACACACCTAATGTGCTACCTGTTACAAATAACTACTAAATTATCAATTAATAACTTTTGCTAGTAACAAAGAACACTTGAGCTTCAGACACATTCAGGGTTAYGGTGGCAGCTTAAGAGGGGCTTTTAAAAATACCTGCAACTCCTCATATTTCCTTTTGGGAGGCTTTTAATCTGCACTAGAAGTACAAATATCAGCTGATTCTGAGGACTCCCACTCCCGCTTGATGAGAGCCTCATGTCAGGAAGCACTAGAAAGTGAGAGATACTTGGTCGCATCTTTTAGCGAGGATTGAGGGACTTTTCCAAAACACTGCGTTTTAAGCAGCATATTGAAACAAGTGAGGTATGTGACATTCCTTTCTCCTTGATAGGTCCTTTGGGGTGGAAGGGTGCTAAAACCAAGGAAGGACGACTTGGCAACGCAGAGCATTCACCACCTCAACGAGAAGCTTCTCAGGGATACGCGAGTCAGTATCAGCATGATCCCCATGGGGGATGGAGTGACATTGGCATTCAAGTTGTAGCCGCAGGAAGCCCAGCAGATGGGAAGCAGCAAGGAGCACCAACCACCAGGAAAGATGGAGGTGGAATACTCAACAGGAATGATTATTTAACCCGGGTCTCCGCAGGATTGCTTAGCCTGCTAAAGCAGACTTTAGAATCAGCAGGATCCCTTACGAGCAGCTGAGTTGAGAAGAGAGAATTATTTTGAGATTAGTATGGCTTATTTTAATTGCAATAAAGGAAGGAAACTTGCACAAAATTATCCTTGTAAGACTGGTTGAAGAAAATCTCCCTGTGTATAAGGACTGTGTGAAGCTCCAAGTGAGTCAGCTTAATGAGAGACATTTCCTGTCCAAAAAGAGGCTTTTAAGTTAGAGAATAAGAGGGGGAGGGAGATGGGAGTAAAACTGTGGGCATATTAAATGATGAGCATAGGATCCAGGAGAGAATCAGTATCACCACTAGAAGCAAACCCTTCACAAGTGCCACTCCAACACTGCAACTGTCAGGGCATTTTCCTCTAGGTTTCCACCATCGTGAAGGAAAGCTGGTTGTGTCCTGAATTTACACAAAGATCAAGGAAAAAAGTCCTGAATTTGAACAGGAAAAAAGCATATCTGTGTATCAGTCAGATAGAACATCAAGCAAACAAAAAAAATGGCAGGGAGGTGGGGAGAACAGATGCATCTCACTGACATGTTTGCGTCATTGAWGACAGATCACACTTTTTACAAAGAAAAGTGTGATAACCAAGAGCTTTAACGTTACCAGGCATTCAGGCTTGAGCTTGTAGTTTTGTTAGCTCCTTGCTGCTGGTGATAATGTTTTGAAGATGAGAGATTTGGATGGGCACTTTTCCAGACTGACTGAATCACTGTGATGTCACTCATATATCAGGAGTCTCCAAAAAACACAAGTTGGGCTTAAAGAATAAGCCTAATACTGAACACTCTCTAAAATCTTTTTGATCAAGAACTATATCACTTTGGCCTAAGAGACAGTGTAGGCAGATTTTCTGAAGCCAGAATGAGGAACAGAAAATTGGAAGATGCTGGGGAAACCAGCTCCTATCTCTGTCTCCTCCGCAAAGCGGCATCTCAACAGCTTCTTCTTAGCACAAGGGATTTAACTTTCCTCCCATTGAAAAGAGTTGCCCTGGACACCAAGGTGCTGGCAGCCTACAAGTCTTCTTCATGTAATTTATCTAAGTTGCTTATTAATAAGTTTTGGGCTTCGTTTTGATTGAAGAACTCTGGTAACTGCTGCAAAGTTTGATAGAAAGCTGCAAGCAGGAGCAAGGAGATGGAAAGTCTACAGAGGGAAAGCAATGACTGTGTGAGGATGGAGTACAACTGCAAACTGACTGTTCAAGCAATTATTATTGCAAGCACAGGGACTCCTTTCCCCAAAGGACACGGAACAGAATGATGCTTTTTCACACCCTTCCTTATAGTCTTAATTCATAGTTAAATTGCTGCTACTGTCAATTACTCCTGTTCCATTCTTATGTCATTCATGACATTTTTGGCAGCTGTGGATGGAGAAGCTATGATTGAAAAAGCTCCCCTTAGCTAGGGCCAATAGGGAAATTTAAGGAGTGGGGGTGAGAAGCTTATTCCTGTCCAAGCTAGAGGAGGAGAATCTAGCAGACCACGTCTTTCCATGGTGAATATACTAGTGCAGATAGGATTACTAACCAATCTTCTGGCCTTTCTAATTCCAAACCAGAATTCCCATTAACAAGAAAAGACAATTAGTGAGAAAAAAAAAAATGCACATTACAGCCAAAGCCTCCACTGGCAGTTGACTTTTAGGGCTGATGCACTGCAAGGCTGTCCACAATGTGTGTGTGTTGGGGAGAGCCTGTCGAAGCCAAGGAAGCTCCTGCCGTTTGCTTGATCAAGTCTTTGAAACAACTCAAGGCTCAGGGGTGGGGCAAAGACTTCAAATCTCATAAAATACTTGTTACAACTGACAACACAGTTCTCATTTCCAAAATTTAACTGAGTGACCCAAGTTCTGACAAGAGGCGGGTGCTCAAGACAGAAGTCTCACCTGGCTCAAATACTCAYGGAGAAAAATGAAAAGACGACACCACTGAAGCTGAAAGTCTGGCAACCTCAGCGTGGGGTTATGAGGGAGGAAATCTTGATTCTATTTCTGTCACTTCCAGTTAAAACCCTATTCAGCAAAGCATGTCAGGATGTGCATAAGGCCTTTGCTGAGCTRAGAACTGGCCGCTCTGAAGTCAAATCCAAGCCTGGGAGAGAGCCAGGACAAGGTGCATGTAGCCCTTAAGATCTTGAACAGGACATAAAAGCTGATTTTTTGTTTGTTTTTTAGGATATTGTTTYACCCTTAGATCTTAAAATCGTTATGTGCCACAATATTCTTATCTACTTAAAAGAAATAACATGTTCCTGAAGCCGTAATGACTATAATAGCTTTCAGATGGAGCCACTAAAAGAATACATGAGATCATTATACATTTGCATTCAAACCTCCTGGCCATGTTCCACTTTTATGATACTGCTTTTCAAGTAGATAACAAAAATTTTAGAGTTACAAACACAGCGCTGGACTCCTAACAGCTGGAACATGCTCTCAAATATTCCTGTTCTCAGCAACTCATGGGAGAGCCCTTTAGGAGAGATTAATAGGCTCTGTTTATTGCCATTTGAATCATTTCTCAGAAGCCAATTATGATAGCCATAAGAAATCAAGCAAGGAACAAATACGATGTTTGGACACTTCACGTTAGATTGTATTTTCTCATTAAGATACAGTTCCAGTGATTAATTCTGATGATGCTCTTCAGGCTATAACTAAAAAAAGCAAGCAAACAATAAATCCAAGCGACCAACCAAAAAACCCATACATCCAGACATATAGGCCTCTCAGTATTTTGGTCATACAAGGTGGTGTGGCTTTCTGCTTCTGCTTTTTAGAAAGCTCAGTTTTCCTAAACTACCTGCAAGACTTTATGCATCATTATTAATGTTAATGTGAATAATTATAGGGATGGTTATTGATTGGTATTTCAAGTCCCAGATGACCAGAAATGCTCACTGAGCATCCAAGTCAAACTGAAATAGTGGCCAGGCTCCGACTCTGCAGTTGCACCAAGTCCCTTGGATTTTGTTGAAGTTCTCTGATCACTGCATCGGCCTCAGGAAATGATGGAAACAAATCAAGGTCCACCCCCCCTCCAGCCCAGGGAGCTCACTGCACAGACACGCAATGGGGAGAGAAGAGTGGTAACTGGCTTTATGGAAAAGACRAAGCTAATGGACAACAGCCTATGAAATAGATCCCCAAAACATATCTGAGTGCCCAGCTTAAGTAAACATATATTCCTGTCCTTAAAGGATTTAGAATCTAGATCTTCTTAGTCCCACCAAAGTAAAGCTTTAAAGAGACTATGTCCATTGAAGACAGAGAAAACCATGTTCTTTACATTCACAGCCAGGTATAAGTATTTCACAAAATCAGAGCAAGCCAGGGCTTCACTGGCAACTTACTGAAAAGCAGGCACACGTCATTTTATTTTTCCTATAGGAACTCCAAAACAGCAAGCACATCTGTTGCAGTCAGATCAGTATGAAGGCTGATTGAGATTGGACAAAGCGTATCGGAGAGCAGAAGTTCAGCAGCTAGTCATCGTTTCATGGTTCTTGAATGTTACCTTGAGGAAGTCAAACAGCAGCAACAAACAAGTAAGAAGCAGTCACAGAACAGAAAGGARGGGAAAAGAAACAAAAACACACACACAAACATGTCCAGTTCTCACASATGAGACTGTGTTTGCTGATCGATTACTGCAACGAGGAAAACAGTTGTAGAGCACTTGAAGGTTGAAACCTCAGCTTCACCTGCAGTACCAACTGGTAACCAAGAGCAAGCTACAAGCTAAGAGTGCTTGCAATGGCCTAAGAGAACCCTCATCGGGGTGGAGGACTGATCACGGACTCTGCAACTGCTCTGCTCGTCATTTCCAAGCAGCAAGGATCTTCTCCTTTAAGATGACCCAACAGTGAAGCAAGCTCCATGTGCATTTTTGGAAAAGCAAACATCAGATTAGGAATATTCAAAACTAGATACATAAACTTCATAGTCAGTGACTTCATAAACTCATTTCCTTGAGGAGAGGGACCCTCAAAGTCCCTATAGCCCCAACTGAAGGGGGAGGTTAATTTTGCCCACAGTTGCCCACTCCTGAGTGCCCAGGGCTGCAGCTGCATGCAAGAGCTAGGCAGGGTGCCTCTGCTCTGGCCTCTGCTCCATTTTAAATATCCAGAACATGGTACGAGCATTTAATCAAACCTGTCTCCATCCTGATCACGTAATTACCATTAGAAAGAATAGCAATGTGTCCCTAAACTATAGATTGATGAGCCATCTGTAAGCTGAAACAAMGACCAGAAGGAAGCTTAATTGAATCAAATATTTAGAATACATTACACTATCTTTTAGTTACTCAGAGGCTGGCCTTCCCTTCAGGCTTCTGTCCTACTCGTCTGGAATTCATCACCGCTAACTGCATTTAATCCTTCAGCCTTACTATAAAGTGACTGTTGATAATACATAATTATGGTTTAATTCAAGTGGTGAATCAGCTTCAGGGAATTTGTAGGGACAATGGGAATTTAGGCTCTGATTAGGTGGTAAAAGTGACCACATGACAACAGAGCACCAGTCTTAGTCTCTCTCTAAAGGCAAAACCATAGAGCGAAGCTTACGGGAGAGCTCCTCACTCCAGATAACGCATCTCTCTGAGCACTGCCCATACAGTGAAGGCTCATGGCTTTTCTGGGCTCCACCCCAAAAGTGGAGCCAAACTTGGCCACACCTATTACTCAAAGACCCCCATCCAGATGCTCACAGACCACTGACACCATTTCCAGTTGCAAGGGTTCAACCTAGAGAAGGCAACACAAGCACGCAGCTGGTATTTACTCAGAAGCAAATACATCCCCCCACACTCTCCAGAGGCCAACACCAGAATGAAAGTGCACAAGACAGGTGCTGGTTCGGTGTCTCAGTAGCTGCTTCAAGGATGTCGCACTAGAAACAACATGGTGTGATGTTTGGATGGTGATGGGAGGATGGACTATCACCCCTTCGCAGGCCCAACCTTGCGTTCCTACCCAGTGATGGCATAAGTGACCAGCACTCACCCTGCTGAGACACCTCATCCCCACTGTGAGGCAGCGCTCAACGGTCACTTC